CCTGGGGGCCCCCCATGGGGCCCCTGGGTGGACCCCCTTGGGGGCCCCCCATTGTACCTCCTGGAGCTCCCTGGAAGCTTCCTTGGGGGCCCCCCATGCCGGGTCTTGGGCCCTGGGGGCCTCCCATGGGGCCCCCCTGGGGACCTCCCATATTGCCCATGGGGCCCATTCTTGGGGGCCCACCGGGGCCTCCCATAGGGGGGCCCCCAGGTCTTTGCTGGGGGTTCATGGGGCCCCCCATACCCTGGGGGCCCCCCTGGGGCTGCTGCATGGGCCTGCCGGGGGGGCCCCTGGGGCCCCCTGGCTGGTCTTGGGGCCCCCGGAACTGAGGGGGGGCCCCCTGCTGCTGCGGCTGCTGCATGGCGGTTTGAATGTGCTGCTGCAGCACAGAGCGGAGAGCAGGGCTGGGAGGAGAGTGGGGAGGTGCGGCGGGAAGCCGCGAGGGTTTAGGGTTTAGGGTTTAGGGTTTAGGGTTTGGCGGTCGTCGGGTGGCTCGACGCAGCGCGAGTCTGTCTGCAGGCCTTCCTCGGGCTTTTGAGATGAAAAAGGATTACTTTGAGTCTTTTGAAATATATTAAATCATAAAAGGGAATTAAACTCACTTTTCAAGGCCAAAAAGATCGAGCCTAGGCTGCGCAGCAGCAGATTGCCCAGGTAGCGGCAGCAGCAGCAGCAGCAGCAGGCCAGCAGCAGCAGGTGTAGAGGCTCTTGGAAGCGCTCTTTAGAGAACTTCTGGGTTTTATTTGAATATTTTAAACTTATCTCAAAGAATAAAAGGGAAATAGCGGAGAAAAATAGACAAAAGGCAGCAGCAGCAGCAGGAAGGCCATTGGCTTCTGGCTGCTCAGCTGCAGCGCCGACTGCAGCGGGCAGCAGCAGCAGCAGCAGCAGCAGCCGGCCTTGGCTCGACGCAGCTCCCCAGCCCCTTTTGCCCTCCATTTTAATTTGTTAAATGGTTTTTCTCCTTTTAATTCAATTATTTTCAAGAAAACTCCCAAATCCACGCCCCTACACTCACTGCAGCAGCAGCAGCAGCAGCTGCACACGGCCGCTGTTCGGCTGCGCTCGCAGCAGATTTCAGGTGTATGTACAACCAACTCCCTGCTGCTGCTGCTGCTGCTGCTGCTGCTGCTGCTGCTCCGCCTCTTCGAGGCTTGTGTCTAAAGATCAAGCAGACGCTGCTGCTGCTACTGCCGTTGTTGCTGCTGCTGCCTTCACTGCGGCGTGTAGATCTTGCAGCAGCACGAGCCGCTGCAGCAGCAGCAGCAGCAGAACTAGCGCCAGCAGCAGCGGCAGGAATAAGCTTTTTTGCCTTGCGTAAAGCTGCTTCAGTTTTTCTGAGATTTCCTGTTTCTGCATCACCCTGCTGCTGCTGCTGCCGCTGATGTTTGTGCTATTGTTGCTGCTGCTGCCCTAGTTGCTGCTGTTGCTGCTGCTGCTGCTGCTGCTGCACTTTTTGCTGCTGCTCTTGCCACTGCTGCGGCTGCCTTAGCCGCTGCCTTTGTTGCTGTGGTTGCTGTTGCTGCTGCTGGTGCCTTCGCTGCTGCTGTTGCTGCTGCTGTTAACACTCTTGCTGCTGCAATTGCCTTTCCTGCTGCCGCTGCTGCTGCTGCTCTTGCTGCCGCTCTCTTCTTCCATAGAACGTAAAATTTAGCCGCGACTGCAGTCCTTATTTTGCTGCTGCTGCTGCTGCTGCAGCAGAGATTTGGGAGAGCACATCCTTTTTAACATTTATTATTTTTTATTATTTTGTCTTTTTGATTCATTTAATTTCAATTAATTATTTTCGTCTTTTTACTCAGCAGCAAAGGCAGCCAAGGCAGCAGCAGCGGCAGCAGCAATAGCGACAGCAAACTGCAGCAGCAGCAGCAATAGCAGCAACTGCAGCAGGAACGAACCGCAGCAGCAACAGCAACAACACACACCGCAGCAGCAGCAGCAGCAGCAGCAGCGAGTAGCAGCAGCAGCGGGAGGCCCCTAAGAATCTACATTAAGTGTATGTGCTGAAATATATTTCAATTTCAAGATATTCATTTTTAAACTTTTATGCTTTTTGCTTGTTTCAAAATTGGAAACCTTGAAACATTTAATGCATTTATATTACACTTAATTTGCTGCTTCGCGTGAGTTGCTGCGCTGGAGCTGTACGTACACCGCAGGAAAGCGAAAGAAAGAAATAAGCGGCCGCCGCTTCGGGTGAACGTACACCTCAGGCTGCAGCCGCCGTGGAACGCAGGGGCGCTCATTTCGCGTTTATTTCTCAAACAAATGGGAATTAAATGAATTAAATGATTATTTAATTCAAAGTTGAGCATTTGCCCCCTCGTTTAACGCCAGAAGAACCGGGGGCCCCCGCCGGCTCGCCTGCGGTGGCCGGGCAGCAGCTGGGATGCAATTGGGGGCCTCCTTGCGGTTTGAATTGTTTGTTAAGCGAATAAATTGGTTGAATTAATTAAAAAAGAGTTATTGTTTCAGTTTTAAATTTGTTTCTGCGGCTCAAACTGCAGCAACGGTCATCCCTGGCCCGCCGCGGCGCCGCAGCCCTTCAGGTGTATGTGCAGCTGTCGGGGTGTACGCCGAGCTCTCCGGCGGAATTCAGCGGCTCCAGAGAAACGCATTTGGCATTTTTGCTGCAGTTGGGTCGAAGTTGCTGCAGCAGAAGCGCGGCAGCAGCAGCAGCAGCAGCAGCAGCAGCAGCCCCGTTGGCGGGCCTGGGTGGGGGTCATCGTTTTGCGGCGAAAACTGGGTGTTTTTCCGCGATTTTTCGTGTTTTGGGTTTTAAATTGTAATTTATTTCTTAATAGTCTCAAAAATCCGCGAAAATGCCAATAGATCCTTCCAAATGGCTCACTCAGCGGCACAAACACCCCAGAATTGGCCCGGCCTATCAAGCCACCATACCTGCGCTGCAGGGGGCGCCTTTCCCGCAGGTGCCTTTGCGCTGGCTGGGCGAAGCAGCAGCAGCAGAGACGCCAGCAGCAGCAGCAGCAGCGGCAGGGGCTGCTGCTGGGACGCCCGCAGACGCAGCCGCCAGGGGAGCGGCCGCCAGAAACAGCAAAACGGCGGCAGCAGCAGCAGCAGCAGCAAACAGAAACAGCAACACCCCCAGCTGCCGGCCAGTCACCCGTAAGATGAGGGCCTCAGCAGCAAAGGGTATGGACCCCGCCAGCGACCTGCAGCAGCAGCAGCAGCAGCAGCTAGCAGCAGCAGATGTTACTTTTGCTGCTAGTTTATTTGCTGATGCTGCTAGGGAAATGAAGGAGGGTGAAGAAGGGCTCCCCAGGGAGACTTTTTCTGCTGCGCCGCCCGGCAGCAGCAACAGCAGCAGCAGCAGTGCAGCAGCAGAAGCAGCAGCACGGCACGCCGATGCTGCTGACTACCTGCTACAGAGCATTTCTGTGGCGGAAGCAGCAGCAGCAGAAGAAGCAGCAACAGCAGCGGCGGCAGAAGCAGCAACAGCAGCAGCAGCTGCTGAGGCAGCAACAGCAGCAGCAGCAGCACAAGCAGCAGCAGCAGAAGCCGCAGCAGCAGAAGCTGCAGCAGCAGAAGCTGCAGCAGCAGCAGCAGCTAGCGGACCTCTCGCTGCACTCGCAGCAACCTGTTTGCTGCCACCTCTTGGGAAGCACCCATTGACAGAAGACGACAGCAGCAGCACCAGCAGCAGCAGCAGCAACAGCAGCAGCAGCAAAAAGGCTAAACTGGAAGAATAACGAAATATGCAAACTAGCCTTTGGGTTTAAATTGCATTTCTTGATTAAAGAAAACTTTCTTTATGAACAAAAAAGAAAAATAAAAGTTGTTTTTGTTTGCTGCAGAGCAACGGAATAAGAAAACTTGAAATAAAATAAATCAAAAAATAAAGATGAAAAAACAAATATATTTAGATAAATAAATATAAATAAAATAAATGAATTAATTAAATAATTAAAATGAAACAAATGCAATTCTAAATAATTTAGAAATAAATCCAAATTAACCAAAAGCCCTAAAGCTGGCAAATATGGAAAAAGTGTAAAAAGACAAAAAGCAAATATTCCGCAGAAGCCACCAAGAGCCAAGAAGGAAAAATAAGCAAATAAAGATATTTGTAGGCAGCAGCAGCAGCAGCAGTAGTAGCAGCAGCAGCAGTAGCAGCAGTAGCAGCAGCAGTAGCAGCAGCAGCAGCAGCAGAGGGGTGTTTGCTGCCAGTGAGCGACTTAATTGGTACATTTTATTTTCGCTTTTGGGCGCTCTGCGCATGCCCTGGGGGGCTGGGGGGAGGGAATAAATGTGTTGGCATTATTTCCATTATTGTCATTATTATCGTTCTTTTTGCGATTAAAAAGTAAAAGAATGGTTTAACTGGATAAATAAAAGAGAATAAAAGAAAAAGAATCGAAAAACTGGAAAAAAGAAGAAAGCAGAAGCCCCCGTTGGTGCTGAGGTGGACGTACACCTGGCGTGTTTGCCTCCCAAGCGAACCCAATGGAATATTTCGTTGAAATTAAATTAAAAAACAACAAATTAACAAAATAAAAGAAGAAAAAGACAAAAAAGGAAAAGATTACAGCGAAGGGAGGCCCTAGGAGGCCTCGCCTCTGGGGCCCCCAGGGGGGCCCCCGGGGGCCCCCAGGGGGGCCCCACGCTGCTACAAGGTCTTTTTGTATTATTATTTCGCCATTTGTTTGCTCCTTTTCAACTTGGAATGCAAAATAAAATATATTTTCAACTTTTAGATCCATTTAAGCTTTGTTTTTGCTTCTATCGGCTGCGTTTCAGAATCCCCCACGGTCGCGAGGTGTATGTACACCTCAGCTGCTGCTCGCTGGCCCTCTCGAGCTGCTGCTGCAGCTGCGAGCCCAGTAATTAAATCCAATTAAATAAATGTATTTTAATTAGTATTTTATTTTTTAAATTGAAGAACAAAGATTAATTTAAAATATCTATATTTAAAGCTGCGAGCAGCAAGATACTAACAGATTCCAGCAGCAGCAGCAGCAGCAGCAACAGCAATAGCAGAACACCCCACACAAAGGGCAACAGCAGCAGCAGAACGCCCCCATCAAAGAGCAGCAGCAGCAACAGAACGTTCCATCCAAAGATCAGCAGCTGCAGCTGAGCATTCCACTTGAAGAGCAGCAGCAGCAGCAGCAACAGGAGCAGCGGCTAACACCCAGCTCAAGTAGCGCGCGCCTGCAGCAGCAAGAACCGACTCAAAGGCAGCAGCAGCAGCAGCTGCAACCGAGGCAGCAGCTGCAGCAGCAGCAGCGGCAGTGTCTCCGTTTTCCTTCCGCCTTCGCCTCCCCACCTGCTGGCCTGCTGCTTCCAAATCAGAATAAATAAATAAATAAGTAAATAAATAAATAAATAAATAATCAAATAATAAATAAATAAATAAATAAATAAAACAGTTGAATTATTTCAAGAGGAGAATGCAAGCAGCACTGGCATTCGAAAGGGTGTGGGTGAGGCTGCTTCCAAATCCGCTGCAGCGGCAGCAGCTGCTGCAGCAGCAGCTGCAGGAGCAGCAGCGGCAGGAGTTGCAGCAGCAGCAGAAGCTGCAGCAGCAGCAGGAGCTGCAGCAGGAGCTGCAGCAGCAGCAGCAGGAATGTGCCTACTCCCCCGAGCTGTACGCTGGGCAGCACTGCGTGTGCCTGAAGCGGCTCGCTGCTGCTGCTGCTGCTGCTGGCACAGCTGCTGCTGCTGCTGCTGCATGCCCCTTCGGGTGCAGGTTTGTTGCTGCTGAAGCAGCAGCAACAGAGACCAAAGAAGACATTGCTGCGCTGCTGCAGGAGCTGCTGCCTTCTGGATTTCGGACAAATTACAAAATTTACATCAGACAAAAAAGCAGCAGCAGCAGCAGCCGCAGCAGCAGCAGCAGCTCCAATCACGGGAGGCCCCCTCAGGCTTTGGGAGCCCCTCAGGGGGCCCCTCAGGGGCCCCCTCAGGCTTTGGGGAAACCCCAGGGGGCCCCTCAGGGTTTAGGGACCTCTCAGGGTTTAGGGTTTGGGGGCCCTCAGGGTTTGGGGGCCCCTGAGGCCTTGGGGGCCCCCCCGGGGGCCCCTATGGGGGCCCCTGGGGGGGCCCCTAGGGGGGCCCCTGTGGGGCGCCCCTGGTGTGGAGTTTGCGCGTGGGGGCCCCCTGTGCTGCTGCAGGAGGGTTTGCTGCTGCGTTGCTGCGGGCTGGAAGGAGACAGTTTGTTGGATATTGTCTCCTTTGGCTGGGACTTGAGCAGCAGCACGCAGCAGCTAATTTGCTTCTTGAAAGCCCTCACAAATCCCCGCGTGCTGCTGCTGCAGCAGCTGCCAGACTCCCAGGATGCTGCTGCTGCTGTCGATGACCTTCTCGGGCCCCTGCTGCAGCAGCGCCGAGCGGCAGAAGCTGCTGCTGCTGCTGCTGCAGCGGCTGCTGCAGCGCAGGCCGGCGAGGCAGGCGAGGGGGAAGCGGCGGAAGCAGCAGCAGAAGCAGCAGCAGCAGGAGCTGTTGCTGCTGCTGCTGCTGCTCCGGACAGTCAGACGAGACGCAAGGCCCTCCCGCGTTCTGCCGCAGCAGCAGCAACAGCAGGAGCAGCAGCAGCAGGTCGGCAGCAGCGCAGCAACAGGCGGAAGCAGCGAGGAACAAAGAAAGGAAGGGAACCCTCGCCCTCCTCTTGCTGCCGCAGCAGCTCAGCAGTAGCAGCAGCAGCAGGGGACCCCGCAGACTGCTGCTGGTTCTTCGGAACGGAGCAGCAGCAGCAGCAGCAGCGGGAGCTCGAGCAGCAATGGTTGATGCTGCAGCAACCGCTGCTGCCTTCGCCCATAGCGCCCAAGCCCCAGGTGCTGCTACTGCTGCTGCTGCTGCTGTTGCTGCTGCTGCTGTTGCTGCTGTTGCTGTTGCTGCTGTTGCTGTTGCTGCTGTTGCTGCTGCTGCTGCTGCTTGTAGCGAAGCCACTGAGCTGCTGCTGCTCCGGTCCGTCTCCTTATAGGCGGAGCTGCCCTGACTTGCCTCGTGTCTCCTCCGCTGCTGCTGCTGTAGCTGCTGCTGCTGCTGCTGCTGTAGCTGCTGCTGCTGCTGCTGCTGTAGCTGCTGCTGCTGCCGGGAGCTGCCCTGACTCGCCTCTCAACTTGCGTCACCTCCGCTGCTGCTGTTGCTGTTGCTGCTGCTGCTGCTGCTGCTGCTGCAGTTGCTGCGGTTCTTGCGTCTGTACAGCGGGGGCCTTCCCCGCGGCGGCGCTGAGGTGTATGGACACCTGCTGTGGCTGGAGGCGGAGACACTGGAGAGACACTGGCTTTGTGTTGCTGCTACAGAAAAGGGATTCATTGTTGCTTCCAAAAGACCAAGTGCTGCTGCTGCTGCTGCTGCTGAAGCTGTTGCTGCAGCTGTTGCTGCTGCTGCTGCTGCTGGTGCTTCTGCTGGCGGTGCTGCTGGTGACGGTATTTCTATTGCTGCTGCTGCTGCTGCTTTTGGCGTTGTTGCCACTGCTGCTGCTGCTGATGGCAGTACTGCCGCTGCTGCCGCTGTTGGATTTGCTGTTGCTGCTGCGGTTGGCTGCTGCTGCAGATGCTGCTGCTGCAGATATCCTTTTACTGTTTTGCTGCTGCTATTGCGGTTGGAGTTGCCGTTTTCCTCGCCCTGCTGCTGCTGGAGCTTCTGCGGTGCTATTTCTTGCTGCGCTGCTGCTGCTGCTGCCACTTGCTGGTGACGTGCGCTGCTGCTGCTGCTGCTTCGTGTGCGCCTCAGCGGGTGCAGCAGAAGCAGCAGCAGCAGATGCTGCTGCCTACTACCCTTGCATTCCTGTCAGCAAGGCTTTCCCGCTGCAGCAGCTGGTTGCGCCTGACGGCCGCTGCCTGCCTTTCTCTGCTACTGCTGCAGCAGCAGCAGCAGCAGGAGCAGCACCGACAGCAGCAACAGCAGCAGCAGCAAACGCCTTCGTCTTTGACACTCTTGCCGATTTATTTTGCGCCTATTCTCCAGGCTTTGCTGAAAAGGTAAACCGCCGCATCAGAGGCCTCTCGGGGGCCCCTAGGGGGCCCCAGGGGGCCCCCAAAGGGGTTTCAAAGGTGCCCCCCTTGGAGCCTTAGGGGCCCCCAGGGGGCCCCTAGGGGCCCCCTAGGGGCCCCACAAGGAACTCTAGGGGCCCCTCAGGGGCGTCAAAGGGCCGCCGAGGGCCCCTTAGGGGTCCCCAACGGGACTCCAGGGGCCCAGGGGCCCCCTGGGGCCCCCAAGGGGCCTTTGGGGGCCCCCAAGGGGCCCCCGAGGGGCCTTTGGGGGCCCCCAGGGGGCCCCCAAGGGGCCCCCAAGGGTCAAGAAGGTACAGACTTTATCTGTACTGAATGTTTATATTTGTGGTTGGCATTTGAGGAGTTGAAGAGATTTTATTTGATTATTGATTTGTTTAAAATTATTTATTACTTGCAACTAATTGTTTACTATTATTTATTTATTTATTTTATTTGTTTTATTTATTTTGTTTGTTTTATTTATTTTGTTTGTTTATTTTTTATTATTATTTCTTTATTGTGTCTTAATTGGTTTATTGCTTCAAATTCATCTTTATTTGGTATTTGTTTAAAATTTATTTTTTTAATTTTTTCACCGACTAGTTCATTTATTTATTTCTTTATTATCCATTATTCATTTATTTCAACCATTTTAATTTATTTTAATTTATTTTAATCAATTTAAATTAACTTAAATTAAATTTATTTTATTTTAATTAAATTTAACTTTTGTTAATTTAATGTTTTTATTTTATTTGCTGCTGCAGCTGCCAAGTTTGGCTGTCTCCTCGTCTTCTGTGGATTTGCCGCTGCATGCGCTACCCTCTTTGCTGCCAGAAGTGTCTCCTTTTGCTGCAACAGCAGCAGCAGCAGTGAGTTTGAGTTTGAACTTATTTTTGGAATAAACAATTTAATTAATTTCTTGAAGCAAATACTTTAATTAATTCTTAATTAATTATTTCAGCTGCTGGCTCTGTTGTCCAGAGACGGTGACGCAGCAGAAACAAAAAAAGCAGCAGCAAACTCCACTTGCTGCTGCTGCTGCTGCTGCTGCTGCAGGAAGCTGATGGCGAGGCTTCAGAGGGGGCTGGAGAGGCTCTTGGGGGCGTGTCTCCCGCATCAGCAGCAGATGCAGAAGCAGAAGCAGCAGCGGAAGCAGCAGCAGCAGCAGCTGCTGCTGCTGCAGCTTTGGCAGGCGGCAGCTGCTGCAGCAGGCTGTGGGCAGCAGAAGCAGCAGCTCTAATGAGGGGCCCCCATCCTTCAGATTTTGGTGATCGGATTGCTGCTGAAAAGGCAGCAGCAAAGGTAAGCATTAAAGAACTTCAGAAGCACTTAAGGGGCCCCCTAGTGGCCCCCAAGGGGCCCCCAAAAGGTCCCCAAAAGGCCCTCTAGGGGCCCCCAAGGGGCCCTCGGGGGGCCCCAAGGGGCCCTCAGGGGGGCCCCAAGGGGCCCTTGGGAGACCCCCAAGGGCAAGGGGCCCCTAAGGGGCTATGGAGGGGCCCCTTTGGGGCCCCGTTGTTGCCTTCTGCTTTCGACGCATCTTTGGGCTTCTTTTTATTTTTGCTGCCGCACTTGCTGCTGTTGCAGCAGCGCTTGCTGCTGCTGCTGCAGCACTTGCTGCTGCTACTGCAGCACTTGCTGCTGCTGCTGCTGTTTGTCTTTTTGTCGATGTTTGTTGCATAGCCAACCCCAGATTTGCGGGAGCCGTTCCCAAAGCTTGTCATTTGTTCTTGCTGCTGTTGCTGCTACTGCTGCTGCTGCTGCTGCTGCCGTTGTTGCTGCTGCTGCTGCTCAGTTGTCCACAGAGTTTCGGCAAGCAGCACTGGAAGGAGCCCTGGCGCTGCGGGAGGGGCGGCTTTCCCCTGTTATGGTGCCTGCTGCTGCAAGTGCAGCAGCAGCAGCAGCAGGAGCAACAGCAGCAAGACCAACAGCAGCAACAGCTCGAGCGGTGTATGTACGCAACAACATTTTGTTTATAGCTGACAGAGAGCCTGTGGAGCGCAGCAGCAAAGTTACAGTTTCCAGCCGCGTGGAGGCAGCAGCAGCAGCAGCAGCAGCAGAATCAGCAACGGCTGCTGCTGCTGCCGCGGATGCTGCTGCTGTTCGTGAGACGCTGCGTAAAGTTGCTGAGACATGTGAAATGGCTCGGCTTTGTGAGGATGAAGGCGTGTCTGCCGCAGCAGCAGCAGCAGCTGCTGCTGCTGTTACAGCAGTTGCTGCTCCGGAAGCAGCAACAGCAGCAACAGCAGCAGCAGCAGCAGCAGCATCAGGTCCCTCCTGGCCCCTGGCAGTCACCGTAGACTTTGCTGGCTGCCGCGTGCTGTGTATGGCGCTGCCTGAGGAGGCCCCGCTGCTGTCTTGCTGCTGCAGATCAGCAGCAGCAACAGCAGCAGCAAATGCAGCAGCAACAGCAGCCAGCGGCAAACGAGAAGCAGCAGCAGAAGCAGCAGCGTCGCAGCAGCAGCAGCAAAGAGAAGACAGGTCAAAGATAGACGCTGCTCTCGCTCGAATACTGGGTGTCAGGCGAGGCACCCATAGCAGCAGCAGCAGCAGCAGCAGCAGCAACGCCGCTGCTGCTGGCCGTCTGATGCCTGTTGATCTGATGGCCTCCCCGTTCGGTCTTGGGGAGACACCTGCGGAGCTTGCTGCTGCTGCTGCTGCTGCTTGTGCCCGCCTGGGGGCCAAGGGCCGCGGTGAGGAGGCGATTGCTGCTGCAGTTGCTGCTGCTGCTGCAGCCACTGACGAGCTAGCAGCAGCAGCAGCAGCAGCAGGCCTCACGAAGCACAAACCTCATGCAACGTGCCCAGATGTTAGGCCCGAGCTGCTGCGAGCCTTCTTAACCTTCCATTCCAACCAGCAGCAGCAGCAGCAGCAGCAGCAGCAGGTAGACAAGGGCCATTCCACAGAGGCTGGGGCCTTGGAGGCTGAGCTGCAGCAGAGGCTGGCTGAAGCCTTTAAAGAATACCGCAGCAGCAGCAGCAGTCCGAG